TTTTTTTTTTTTTTGGAGGGGGGGGGTGGGCAATGGAACATGCCCAGGAAAATTAAAATCTAATAAACCCTCCTGGCTTGTAGCAGCATCTGGCCAATTGCTCTGTCACCTCTCGAGAGGAGCGTTAATAGGCCACAGCCAAAAACAAGGCAACGCCAGAAGGGGAGAGGTGATGGAAACAGATCCTTTCCCCTGCTCTGGCCACAGGTTTTTTTTCCCTAAGAGGCCCTTTGGGAAGGGGAGGCAGCTGAAGCCAGGAGCAAGCACACAGAAGCTCATTCCATGCCCTTGCAGGCTGCAGTCAGAGCCAGGAAGCATCGGGGAGCCTGGTGGGTTGGTTACAGGAGTGAACAGACTGCTCCTGCTCCCTGATTATTCCTTAAGGGCTCTTGACTAAAGGTCACATTGTGTGGAAAGCACCGGAGCAGGGGGGGCTGGATAATGAGGGAGTGTTTGATTTGGGGTTTTTCTTCATGGTCTGGAGTGTTAAATACCCCAGCAGCAGCTTTTGATCCCCTGCTGGGCCTGCTGGGCCAGAGCCCCTGTCCTACTGTTGGATCTCCAGGATACAGGAGCCATCCTCTCAAACCTGTACCTTGAAATGGGATACAGGAGCCATCACTCAAACCTGCACCCTGGAATGGGATACAGGAGCCATCACTCAAACCTGCACCCTGGAATGGGACACAGGAGCCATCCACTCAAACCTGCACCCTGGAATGGGATACAGGAGCCATCCTCTCAAACCTGCACCCTGGAATGGGATACAGGAGCCATCCTCTCAAATCTGCACCCTGGAATGGGATACAGGAGCCATCCTCTCAAACCTGCACCCTGGAATGGGATACAGGAGCCATCCTCTCAAACCTGCAGGCTGGAGAGGGCAGGGATACAGGACCCTTCCAGGCCATTTCCTCACCCACCCATTTGGCACTTCCAAAGGGGATTAGCTCTGTGTGGTTAAAAATTGGGAGTTCAGGTGTCCCACATTCCCATTGGAGGGCAAAACCTCATTATTGCACTTTGTTAGGCTGAAATATCCATTGGACTCGTCACAGAATTGAGGCACAGCTTGTGATTGGTGTCCCACGGTGTCCCTCTCCTTCCTGCCCCTCCTGAGCTCCCTCTCCCACCCCGTCCTTGGCCACAAGGTGGAAGGCAGAGGTGGGGACAGCACCTGGTACTCAAAGGAGGGCGTCAGGCGGTAGTTGAGCATCTCCTGGTGGAACACGGGGGTGATGCTGCCCGACATGGGCGGGACAATCCAGACCCAGTCGGCGGGACAGCCCCCCCGGCACCGGTACTCGTTCTCCATGTGCTTGATGAAGGACTCGGTGGCCGAGTGGTGATCCACGATGGTCACCTTGTCACTCTGCCAGGGGACAAGAGAGCAGAGCCAGCACTTGTCAGCACATCCCAGAAGGCAAAAGCCAAAGTGTTACATTTAGAGCTGTTTGTCCCAAATATTCCTCGCTCCCATGGTCTTTGGGGATGATCCAAGGGGGCTGCTCACCCTGGTCTTCCCAAAGAGGCCCAGAGCTGCCCCAGTGCTTTGAGAATAGGTGTGCTATGGGAGCCCTCTTCCCCCTGTTCATTGTCCTGGGCCAAGCAAAGATGGGATGGGATGGGATGGGATGGGATGGGATGGGATGGGATGGGATGGGATGGGATGGGATGGGATGGGATGGGATGGATGGGATGGAGCATCCTCTGTCAGAAGCTTGGGAAGCTCTCCCAGTGGGGTGGCTCCCACCCAGCTCTGGGCAGGACTCTCACCCTTTGAAGCTGGGTCACCAAGGACTGGCTTTGTTACCCAACCCTTAAGTTTAGGCTGGGGAAGAACCTGGGCCAGTTCCTGCCTCATGGATAGGTCAGAAGGGCTGGATTTTCCCCCCATTGGGATATTCCTCCTAGACCAGCAGGAGTCAGGTGCTGGCAGGTGCTTTACAACATCCAGAGTGTGGAGCCCAAATTCGGGAGGCACAGCCCAATTTCAGCCCTTGTCCAAGGGTGGATGTCTCCACACCTGTCCCAGCCGGTCCCTGTGTCCCTGCAGGCACAGCAGGGTCCCGAGGTACCTGGAAGCTGTAGAGCACAGCGATGTTGATCTCCACCAGGGCCTGGTCCTTCCACAGCGAGGATGTTTTCCTCATATCCAGGTTCATTTTCTTGGCCACTTGCTGTAACAACACACGGCAGGAGGGGAAGGATTTAGTGGCCAAAAAACAAGGATTGGAGATCTCTGCTTGGGGAGAGGAGAGGCCCAGGCTGGCACAAAGCACCCACAGGGCAGGGAAGGGCTGATGCTGTGCCTTCCTCTGGGAAGAAATCCTGCCTTCTCCTCTCCACGGCAGGAGCACGGCCTTTCCTCCTCCCTGAGCAGAGGCAGGTGGCCAAATTCTGCTGAGAAGGCCACCAGGAGCAGCTGGACACTCACACTGCTCCCACCCCTCCGGTTTTCGGGAGACTGGGGAGGGATGGAGCCCCTCTAAATAACACCATAACCTTCCTTGGAAGGTTTTAATGGATCCAGATGCCCTGCATGGGCACCTTCCCACGGCTTGGCTTTGTCTCTCCCAGTGTGGGCAGTCCCTGAGCCATGGGGCCAGCTGGAGGGTCCCCAAGAGCACACACGTCCCTAGAGGAGCCACCAAGTGTCTCTGCACCCTTGGCCTCAACTGAGTACATGACCAGGTGCCTGCTGATCCCTAGGATTCTTTGGGAAGCCTGTGGGAAGCTCCCCAGGGATCAGGCTGGCTGTGTCACACACCTGCTGGCCCCACAGCACACAGAGACCTTGCCCACCTCGGCCATGTGGCTCCAGGAGAAGGGATTTCCTGAACTCTCCTGCTCCAACAAACACTCCCCCAGGGCCCTGCCTGCTCCCCAGTAACTCCAGGCCCACCAGGAGCAGCGGGAATCACCTCCAGGATGTTGTAGCGGGAGTTGTCGCAGTAGTCGCGCACGCCGATCTCCGTGCCCATGTACCAGCCACTGAAGGGGCACGCGGAGAACTCCAGGCCCCCGATCTCCAGGAGCATGTTGGAAACGGCTGGCAGCCCGTACCACTTCAGGCCCAGGTCCTTAAACCACTCAAACCTGCCAGGAAAAATGTCAGGATTAGGCAACCAGCCAGGAATTCCCTGCCCAATGGAGGCAAGGGGGTGGAGGAGGTCACTTTGCCAGCAGGGTGAAGGACTTGAGCAGAACATTTCCATCAGTGCCTCCCTTTGGGGCTGTTTATGGGGACCAGGTGATCATGGAGTGGGAGACTTCAAGGAAAAGGAAACTTTCCAATAAAGCCAATCTGGATACAAGGGAAAGCCCTGAGACATGGACACAACTTCCTTGCCAGCTCTGGAAAGAAGAGCTGGGAGAGGGTCTTGGGTGAAGCCCCCAGGCCATGGCAAGGGTGGAACCAGAGGAGCTCAGTCCTGCTGACCCCCTCGAGCAGCTTTGGGGTGCCCCAGACTCACTTGGGGTGCCGGATGGGCACTTCCAGCACCAGCTCCGGCGGGATCTCGAAGAGCTCGGGGTCGTTGCCGTTGGCTTGGAGCAGCAGGGGCAGGATATCAAAGCGCCCATATGGAGCCTTCCAGCCTTGCTGGATGCAGATCTGCAGGGACAATAAAGGCAGGGTTGGTGTCCCAGCAGGCCACCTGCTCTTCAGACGCTGTGGGCAGGGAATTGTGTGGCCCTGGGCAACTCCTGGCAAGATTTCTGTCCTCGTGGTTGATTAAGGGAGCTACAACAGGGGGTGGCCTCTCCCAGCCCACCCATGGCCAAGTCAGGGGAATGTGGGGTGAGAACAAGCCAAGAATAGATCCCTGGTAGGATCACCTATAACGGTGAAGGAGAAAAATGGTGAGAAAAGCAGAAAAGTGACAAAACCCAGCCTTTATTCCTGGGGAAAAAATAAAACCCGAGTGTGACACAAACCCAACCTCCCCCTGTGGTGCTGCACTGGACAACCCCAACCTGCTCGACCCAGCCCTCCCTCCTCCCTCTGGGGTGCTCAGGACTGCCCTGTGACCCCTTTGTGGCAGCTCTGGCACCTCGGTGAGCTCCACGTTGGCGGGGTCCCCCAGCACGGTGCCGTCGGGCTGTTTGTAGCCGGCGTAGCGGATCAGCTGCGCGTTCCAGATGCGGAAGTCGTGCTTGCTGTCCGTGCGCTGCGGGAAGATGGTGATGGCAGACCTGGAAGGGAAAGGCAGCTCTGCAATCCTCCACGGCATATTGCTAATGTGCAAGTCAATGGTTTCGAAAAGCAGAGCGTAAAATCTCAAGAAAAGTTGGGAAAAACATTGGGAGATAATTTGGGAGAAACTTTGGGAAAAAATTCGGGACAAAAATTGAAAAAGCTTAAAAAAGCCCTTGAAGCACAAACAAAAATTTTTAAAAATCTGGTGCGACTGTAGAGTTGGACTCCGATAAAAGGACTTGTTGTTTTGCCTGTGGTAAACCAGGACACATGAAAAGGGATTGTCCTACAACAGCAATCCAACCTAAACAATTCTGTATTTGCCCTCGATGTCGGAAAGGAAAACATCCTCCTAAGTACTGTCATTCTCAATTTGACATCAATGGCAAACCTTTGTCGTGAAACAAAAAAGAGAGCAGACTACCACCATGCCTCGACACAAATAGTGGCACCTCCTTACAGCCAATTACCCAATCAAATGGTACCTCAGTCATTTATCCCTCAGTCAACCATTCCTCCTCAGGTGCAAAGTTTAAATACTGTTGTCTTAGGTTGCAATACAGGATGTGACCAGGGGTGTGTATTCTATCATCATCTATTAAACCAGGTGTGGCAGTGACCCTGATCTCCATAGGAGATATCCTCTGTTCATGTTCCAGCTGTTAACCCAGCTGTTGCAGTGTTCTTTATCTTCCCCACAACCCACCCTCCCTCCAGGAGATCTCTCCTGTTCATGGCCATGCAGTCCCAGGGCAGGGCTGATCAAATTCCATCATCCCATTGGGAGATGCTCCAGCCAGGG